ATGTAGAGGATTACTTATTCTAATTAAGTGAAAAATATTTTTTAACCAAGAAACGTTTCATTTTTATTCTTTATTTTATTCATAGCTTATATATCAACAAATGTAAAAAATATCAGCAACAATTGATCCATGAACAGACAACAAATAACAATTAATACTACAGCACATCTATAAGAAGTTCCTTGTAACATAGTGCATTCATACATGTGTCTCCTCAAGTCTGGCAATGTGGCGTCTGTCCAACACGGAATATATCTGAAAAGTATAAACATAAAATATAAACAACGAGTAGACAAATATTTGTATATTATGCGACAATATAAGTATTTTATGCAGATATGCCCAGATAAAATCAATTCAGTTAAACTGTTGCCTGTCAAATGAATTTGGAAAACCTTTTTTTGGACAGTTATTTACAAGTCAATAAAATTACCTTATCAAATAGTATTTTTGTAGCTTTGTGCTGACTGTAACATCTTGTAGAAAAGAGAAGTTTCTCAGCTCTTCCGACCTTTATAAATCGTTCGACAAAATCTAAACACGCATTGCATAGATCTCGAAGCTCAAACTGGGAGGCAGCGCAATACAAACCTGAAAACACAAGAAAAATATCATATGAGTTTAAAGCATAAATACATTATCAGTATGGCCATTCAAAAGTAAAACATCCGATATTATCAGGTGATTTTTGTTACATACGTTTTCAGTAAACTCCTTTTTTTTAAATTATAAATTTTGTAATGTGATTAGATAATTATATTTACCAGCAACGGTTTCCTCGGTGATATTCACACTTCCGCAGTGAATAAACTGTACCAACATTCGGAACACTTCAGAATCGTATTTCTTGACAGGGATAATAAGTCTCTGTGATAATGACCGACCAATTCCAACTGTTGCATTTTTCTCACTTTTCTTGTTCTTTTTTTAAGTTTTTTTCTTGATTAGCTGCTTCCATGGACATGTGTTTCAAAATCAGTTGATACATGATTCTGAAAAAAAAGTAATGTATGAATAAATATGTAATGGGGCGATTGAGGTACTCTATTACTTTCGAGTGGACAAATCACGAAATATTCAGCCAAATAAAATTAAGATTCTTACCTACTCCGTGTACCCATGATGGCACGAACACCATGTATACGGGCACTTCACGTGGTCCAACTATAAACGTGACGTCACACATTTCAGGCATTGCCAGAATTAATTTTAGGTGCTCGGAAAGCGCATGCGTACTACTGAAGTTCATTACTTCTTCGTGGGTGGTGTCATATGATCTGCTGTCAAGACTGTCACGTGACCCCCAAGAACTCACTGATTCCACATCAGAAATGTCTGTAGATTCATAGCCTGACGAAGAATCTGAAAACATAAAACGCACATAATTATATTCATTATAAATAATTCAAGTTACAAGTAAAAATTTAAGCTCGTAGACATTTGTTAATTTCGTTAAAACAAATAAATCAATCACTGAAGAGTAAATCATTCTTAAATATTACCATCATAGTCGAAATCAATGGCTTTATTTTCAAACAAGTCATCATTTCCAGTGGGATCCATTAATGGAAGAGTTGCATATGAACAATTCATGTTAATTTATTACTGAGATACTGAATTGGTACGCTTAAATTGGTAAATGAATGAAAATAATAAGATTTTTGTCTATATATACAGGCATCAAAATGTTAAAGCTTTCCTTGATTACATTTTACTCTTGACTTGTGACATAGTGAATCTTGTCACTTAATGATGCCCTTAACTTAATAGTAATCACAGTAGTTTGTGTTTGAATCTGGCGTGAAAAAGGTGTGAAAAATATCTAGCAAACCTAAATAATAAGGTTGAAGCAAACAAATAAGAGAGTGTATTTTTCACAAGTCATTTTTTGACAGTAAGCATTTTCTAAATGCATTTGGTATAGAAATTAAATTCAAACACATGTACATTTTGTGTTTTCTTGTCATTTCCAATTATGTTTTTCATATTCAATTGATTTTTTTCTACAAATGTTGTTATTACAAGGCTGTTGTTATTGCATAAATCAAGAATTTATTGTCGGGAGCATACACGTACAGTTCTCAACTCAATATAAGGATTTTGTTGTTGTTGTTTTTTGTATATAAGTACATTTGGCGGTATATATATGAACGAGTTTTTTGTTTGATAAGAATATAGTCATTCGTTATTTCCAAATTCTCTACGCTCGAACGAAGATAAATTATTTATCCCATAATAAAGGTAATCGGAGGAAGAAAGAACATCAATTACACAACTGCATTGCCGTATATCTACATTGCTAATACAGTTTCTATGAAACTGCACCAAAGTCGTGTATACATGCCAATTACATATCTCAACGTTTCACAAATTGGATAATCCAAAATGGCTTTCGCGAGTTTTACTTTTTCTTTAGATTAGCCGTCAACAGCCAAAATTGCGGATCCTGAATCTTACGATGTCTTCCTTACACTTGCCGAAATTAGGATTGTTGTTGCGTGAAATTCGAATTCTTTTCTGATTATTATGTTCTTCATGTTTTGTTTCATTTTATATTTCGTTGCTTAAAAAGTTATATATATAAATGGTTGTTGGAATATAGGTTTATATTGCAAATAACCATTTATTTATGGTTATATAACCTGTCAGAAGATAAATAACAAATTTGTAATACAGCAAACATCATTTTTTAAAAAAAAGGAAATATTTTTTTCCCATAAATTGACAGCAGTCGTTTATATTATTAGTTATAGAGATTATTGACAGGTTATATGGCCCTATATTAACGGTTATATTGCAAATAGCCGTTTATATACGGCCATATAACCTGTCAACAATCTTTATAACGAATTTATAATACAGCAAGCATCATTTTTAAGAGAAAAAAATAAGATTTCTTTATAAATCGACAGCAGCCGTGTATATTATTAGTTATAAAGATTGTTGACAAGTTATATGGCCGTATATAAACGGCTGTTTGTAAATATGACCCGAGCAGCTAGGCAGTTCAGTATTATAAAAAACTATATAGACGTCACGATTATCCAATGAAAAGCGACGTTACAAACGTGCAGTATTATAAAGGTTACTATAATACTGCACGTCTGTAACGTCCTTTTCATTGGATAATCGTGACGTTTATATAGTTTATATATAACATGGCTGTTGTCAATTCATGTAGAAATATCACTTCATTATGTAGAAAAGGAAGTTTGCAGTATTATAAATTCGTTATAAAGAATTTAGACAGGTTATATGGCCGTATATATACGGATGTTTGAAATATACAAACAACCGTTTATATAAGGCCTTATAACCTGTCAAACGTCTTTATAACTAATAATATAAACGTCACGCTTATTCAATGAAAAGCGACATTACAATAATGCAGTATTATATAAAACACTTGTATTTGTACAGATGAAATTTTCACAAATGTGAAAATATATTGAAGTTGGTAATTAATGCTGCTTCAAATATACATGCAGTCTTCATCAACGACCATTTCATAAAATGAAACAATCTGTTAGCATACATAAAACAAAAACTAAATTTTAGTGACATTTCAATTATTTTCTATTTTACCATATTAAAACCACACATGGTGATCTGTCACAGCAAAACATGAGTAAAATAGTTATCTTATAATACAAAATATGAATGGAAATATACTTATTTTAAAACGGTTGTGTATACATTTTCATCTCACGTCATTTGCGTTAAAATACAGAAAACATAGAGTCAAGTCGCGCTTAAGTATAATTGCATCAGCAGAAAAAAAATCGTTTCCATGTTGACATTTGTAAGTTTGACTATGTGATTAATAGAAAGTTATCTAGTATTGCATTTTAAGATGCCCGTACATTCAATCAAAGATGTTATATTTCCGATCCTTAAAGATCGTTCAGCACGACATTATTGGTGTGCTTGTGGCAATTAGTTCTTTCTATTTAGCTATTTTCTTGTTGAGTGGTTCTAGTATTCCTAACTTGAATACTGTTGAATCACCTTAGGATATGTGGCCTGATTTTTAAATTTGTTATTTGACGTATTATCTGTGATATGCAGGCTTCATAACCTCTTATCCCCTTTCAAAATTCCATTTTATTTAGTTCCGCCCATTGTTTTCTCGTTTACGGCACACGCATATTTTTACTTGGGGACCATATGCCGCTTTTCATGGAATGGCACTTACGTGTCACATAGAAGGTTCCATGATAACCGCCATATGAACACATCTGTGGATGTTTCAAAATTGTACTAGTTCATGTTAAATTCTGCTTAAGCCGGTGCTAGGGGGCGTGGAAGGTAATTTGCACTTGACAATACCGTCCATGAACAGGCTCAATCAAACCGAGCCTGCAACATTTTCAATATTGCCGTGTTGGGCTTTCTTAAACGATTCTTATTTTCTCTATTTTATCGCCACATTTTGCTTTATTGTATTTCAGATGATACTGTCTTGCGTACATTAGGATTGCTGTTTCGTGAAAATTCGGATTCGGCCCGATTTACGAATGTAATTAAAGCCGTGATTTGACTATGTTATGCATGTATTCGTTTAGTTTCATTGCTTAATTAATTGAACTCATTGGATAAAATCATGTATCCAGTTTTATTCGAATCGGTAATTGAATTCAGTTTTAAACCTTCACTCATTCAATATCATTCATGTAATGTATGGAACACAAAGTTTTGACGGTTTAAAGAATCGTCGACTGAATATTCCCCTATAGAGTTTACAGTTATTTTCCTTTAACTATATTGCTATATTTTCCTTTCTTTCATTTTCTATTTTACATTTTGCATAAACCACACATTTAAGCTTTTGGCATAACTAATGCAATATTGAATTAGGTCTGAATGTCTTAATCTTGCCATGTTTATACCGTTATTTCAAGCCCAAAGTTCAAGCATTTGATGAAGATGAAATTTCTTCATAGATAAATGATACTTATTTGGCTTTTTGTCTTCATATTTTTGTTTCTTATGTAGAGGATTACTTATTCTAATTAAGTGAAAAATATTTTTTAACCAAGAAACGTTTCATTTTTAATCTTTATTTCATTCATAGCTTATATATCAACAAATGTAAAAAAAATATCAGCAACAATTGATCCATGAACAGACAACAAATAACAATTAATACTACAGCACATCTATAAGAAGTACCTTGTAACATAGTGCATTCATACATGTGTCTCCTCAAGTCTGGCAATGTGGCGTCTGTCCAACACGGAATATATCTGAAAAGTATAAACATAAAAATATAAACAACGAGTAGACAAATATTTGTATATTATGCGACAATATAAATACAATGTATTTTATGCAGATATGCCCAGATAAAATCAATTCAGTTGCCTGTCAAATGAATTTGGAAAACCTTTTTTTGGACAGTTATTTACAATTCAATAAAATTACCTTATCAAATAGTATTTTTGTAGCTTTGTGCTGACTGTAACATCTTGTAGAAAAGAGAAGTTTCTCAGCTCTTCCGACCTTGATACATCGTTCGACAAAATCTAAACACGCATTGCATAGATCTCGAAGCTCAAACTGGGAGGCAGCACAATACAAACCTGAAAACACAAGAAAAAATCATTTGAGTTTAAAGCATAAATACATTATCAGTATGGCCATTCAAAAGTAATACATCCGATATTATCAGGTGATTTTTGTTACAAACGTTTTCAGTAAACTCCTTTTTTTAAATTATAAATTTTGTAATGTGATTAGATAATTATATTTACCAGCAACGGTTTCCTCAGTGATATTCACACTTCCGCAGTGAATAAACTGTACCAACATTCGGAAAACTTCAGAATCGTATTTCTTGACAGGGATAATAAGTCTCTGTGATAATGACCGACCAATTCCAACTGTTGCATTTTTCTTACTTTTCTTGTTCTTTTTTAAATTTTTTTCTTGATCAGCTGCTTCCATGGACATGTGTTTCAAAATCAGTTGATACATGATTCTGAAATAAAAAGTTATGTATGAATAAATATGTAATGGGGCGATTGAGGTACTCTATTACTTTCGAGTGGACAAATCACGAAATATTCAGCCAAATAAAATTAAGATTCTTACCTACTCCGAGTACCCATGATGGCACGAACACCATGTACGGGCACTTCACGTGGTCCAACTATAAACGTGACGTCACACATTTCAGGCATTGCCAGAATTAATTTTAGGTGCTCGGAAAGCGCATGCGTACTACTGAAGTTCATTACTTCTTCGTGGGTGGTGTCATATGATCTGCTGTCAAGACTGTCACGTGACCCCCAAGAACTCACTGATTCCACATCAGAAATGTCTGTAGATTCATAGCCTGACGAAGAATCTGAAAACATAAAATGCACATAATTATATTCATTATAAATAATTCAAGTTACAAGTAAAAGTTTAAGCTCGTAGACATTTGTTAATTTCGTTAAAACAAATAAATCAATCACTGAAGAGTAAATCATTCTTAAATATTACCATCATAGTTGAAATCAATAGCTTTATTTTCAAACAAGTCATCATTTCCAGTGGGATCCATTAATGGAAGAGTTGCATATGAACAATTCATGTTAATTTATTACTGAGATACTGAATTTATACGCTCAAATTGGTAAATGAATGAAAATAATAAGATTTTTGTCTATATATACAGGCATCAAAATGTTAAAGCTTTCCTTGATTACATTTTACTCTTGACTTGTGACATAGTGAATCTTGTCACTTAATGATGCCCTTAACTTAATAGTAATCACAGTAGTTTGTGTTTGAATCTGGCGTGAAAAAGGTGTGAAAAATATCTAGCAAACCTAACTAATAAGTTTAAAGCAAACAAATAAGAGAGTGTATTTTTCACAAGTCATTTTTTGACAGTAAGCATTTTCTAAATGCATTTGGTATAGAAATTAAATTCAAACACATGTACATTTTGTGTTTTCTTGTCATTTCCAATTATGTTTTTCATATTCAATTGATTTTTTTCTACAAATGTTGTTATTACAAGGTTGTTGTTATTGCATAAATCAAGAATTTATTGTCGGGAGCATACACGTACAGTTCTCAACTCAATATAAGGATTTTGTTGTTGTTGTTTTTTGTATATAAGTACATTTGGCGGTATATATATGAAAGAGTTTTTTGTTTGATAAGAATATAGTCATTCGTTATTTCCAAATTCTCTACGCTCGAACGAAAATAAATTATTTATCCCATAATAAAGGTAATCGGAGGAAGAAAGAACATCAATTACACAACTGCATTGCCGTATATCTACATTGCTAATACAGTTTCTATGAAACTGCACCAAAGTCGTGTATACATGTCAATTACATATCTCAACGTTTCACAAATTGGATACTCCAAAATGGCTTTCACGAGTTTTACTTTTTCTTTAGATTAGCCGTCAACAGCCAAATTTGCGAATCCTGAATCTTACGATGTCTTCCTTACACTTGCCGAAATTAGGATTGTTGTTGCGTGAAATTCATTCGTTTTGTTTCATTTTATATATCGTTGCTTAAAAAGTTATATATATAAATGGTTGTTGGAATATAGGTTTATATTGCAAATAACCATTTATTTATGGTTATATAACCTGTCAGAAGATAAATAACAAATTTGCAATACAGCAAACATCATTTTTTTTAAAAAAAGGAAATATTTTTTTCCCATAAATTGACAGCGGTCGTGTATATTATTAGTTATAGAGATTATTGACAGGTTATATGGCCCTATATTAACGGTTATATTGCAAATAGCCGTTCATATACGGCCATATAACCTGTCAATAATCTTTATAACGAATTTATAATACAGCAAGCATCATTTTTAAGAGAAAAAAATAAGATTTCTTTATGAATCGACAGCAGCCGTGTATATTATTAGTTATAAAGATTGTTGACAGGTTATATGGCCGTATATAAACGGCTGTTTGTAAATATGACCCGAGCAGCTAGGCAGTTCAGTATTATAAAAAACTATATAGACGTCACGATTATCCAATGAAAAGCGACGTTACAAACGTGCAGTATTATAAAGGTTACTATAATACTGCACGTCTGTAACGTCCTTTTCATTGGATAATCGTGACGTTTATACAGTTTTATATACATGGCTGTTGTCAATTCATGTAGAAATCTCACTTCATTATGTAGAAAAGGAAGTTTGCAGTATTATGATGAAATGATTAGTGACACATCTAACAATATAGATGATGTTATTAATGTTTTTGAGCAACTAATACTGGCTAATTGTTCTGAATTCAAAAGGAAAATAATAATAAGAAACACAAGATATAAATGTAAATGGTTTGATCATGACTGTAAGCAAAGTAGAAGAGAGAAACTCAAATGTTTAAGAAAGTTCAGAAAAAAGCAAAAGTCTCAGTGATTTGAATCAATATATTGATTGTAAAAGGAATTTTAATAAGTTGTGTAAGGTAAAGAAATCAAATTTTGATAGATGTACCCTTCATTCAATTATGGCTTCTATTGACAACCAAAAGCAATTCTGGAAGAAAATTAAACTTTCAAAACAAACAATACAAACAAGGCCTAAAATATCTTTAAATCAATGGTATGAGCATTTCAAATCAGTTTTTCAATCAGATACAAATACTGTATATGAAAGTAATGCTGTAAATGATGAATCAATTAGCTATACTGAAAATGATGTTTTATACAATAACTGTTACAATGGAGTAGAAAATGAAGTAGAAAACATATTGTTTAATGGTGAAATTACAGATGAAGAGATTAAAAATACTATAACTGAGCTGAAACGAAATAAATCAACAGCAGGAGATTTAATACCTGAACATTTTATTCAAACAATTGATTTATTATTACCATATCTGCGTAAACTGTTTAATAGGATATTTTTAAGAAGTGGTTTGTTTCCTGAAAAGTGGTCTCTTTCAGTACTTGTTCCTATCCATAAAAAAGGGCCAACTAATAACCCTGATAATTATAGGGGAATAGCTTTGTTAGAAATTTGTAGTAAAATATATATTAGTGTTTTAAACAAACGATTAACATTTTTTACAAGTGCATATGACAGATTAACTGAGGCACAAGCAGGATTTCGTTCTGGGTATTCTACTATAGATAATGGTTTTATACTCTATTCTATTGCAAATAAGTTTTTATGTCAAAAACGTAGAAAGTTGTATGTGGCTTTTATTGATTTTAAAAAAGCCTTTGACAGCATTGACAGATCAAAGTTGTATTTAGTTTTACATCATCAGGGCATTAAAGGTAATCTTTTAAGGGCAATTAAAGGTATTTATAATTCTGTCAAAGCTTGTGTCAGAATGGATTCTAAACATAGTGAATTTTTTGAGTGTCCTCTTGGGTTACGTCAGGGCTGTAATTTAAGCCCGATGCTTTTTTCTCTTTTTATAAATGAACTATATGATGCTATAGCATCCAGTGGTATTGCTGGAATACAGCTGACACCAGATACTGTACAAATTTTACTTTTACTATTTGCTGATGATGTTGCTTTGACTGCTGATACTGTAAATGGGTTACAGAAACAATTAAATATTTTGTCAAAATATTGTAATGATTGGAAATTGTCTGTTAATATTGAAAAGTCTAAAATTTTGGTCTTTAGAAAAGGTGGCTACTTATCTCGTCATGAAAAATGGACATATAATAACAACCAATTTCAATGTGTTAATGGATTCTCCTACGTTGGGTTATATTTTAGTAGTAAGCTATCGATGCAAAAGATGGCTGAGAACAATGCTAATAAAGCTAAGAGAGTTTTAGTCTCCTTATTATCTTCATTGAATCATTTAATGCCTATGTCAAAAAATGTATTTTTTAAGTTGTTTGATGCTAAAATTGCCCCCATTCTTTTGTATGGATCAGAAATTTGGGGTCTTGAATATATGTATAATATTGAAAAAATACAGTTGTATGCATGTAAACGATATATGAATGCACCCCTACGTTCTTGTAATGCTGTAATTGTTGGTGACTGTGGAAGATACCCAATGCATATTTTAAGTAGTATACGCTGTATTAAATTTTGGCTAAGAGTTCTTTCTATGCAAGATTATAGATATGTCAAAAAATGTTACCATATGTTGTTGTATTATGACAGTATTGGATATAGAAATTGGGCTTCTAATGTTAAATTGTTTTTATATAGAAACGGTTTTGGTTATATTTGGGAACAGCAGCATGTTTCAAATATAAAGTTATTTTTAAAACAGCTCGATTTAAGGCTTAAAGATCAGTATCTACAAGATTGGTCTGCTGAATGTCATTCAAATGCTAAACTTACGTCTTATATTAATTATAAATCAGTGTTTGAGTATGAAAATTACCTTGATATTGTTGACATCAAGAAATTTAGGAATGCTTTAGTAAGTCTTCGGTCATCATCACACCCTTTAATGATTGAAAAAGGGAGACACGTAGGTATTGATAGAAATCAAAGATTTTGTTTCTTTTGTGAAGACCAGATTGAAAATGAATTTCATTTTATTTTAGTTTGTTCAACTTATAGTCATCTAAGAGAAAATTATATTAACAAAAAATATTATAATAATCCAACTTTGAACAAATTTCATGTATTAATGTCATCCAGAAAAGAACAGACAATAAAATGTTTAGCTATGTTTATTTATTATGCTCTAAAGCTGAGGTCATCATTATTGCAGTGTTAACATGTTGATTAATTTTAATCTTTATGTCAATTGATTATAGCAACAATCTAGATTATCTATATTTTATACTATTTTTTATGTCAATTGATTATAGCAACAATCTAGATTATCTAGATTTAATACTTGAAGGTAATCTCCCTTATTTAAGGGCATGTTTGAATTAATACAACCTTGTTCCTGTTTTTTCTTGTTTTTCGTTTCTTCAAGATGCAGGAACAGGCAAATTAAATAGTCACTGTTTATATTTTCGTTTTTATAAAACTACTTATATACTTGTTTATATATGTAAATATGTTGATTACTGTAGATTTTCATCGTATTTGTGATTTTGTGTTATAATATGTAAATATGTTTTGTGTTTATTGTGATTTACGAGTCTTGCTTGTTATGTTAATTACTGTAAATTTTCACTTTTTTTTTGTGATTATGTCTTATAATATGTAATTATGTTTTATGTTTATTGTGATGTATGGGCTGGTGGCCTGAATCATCTTAATAAAGAATTGAAGAATTGAATTGAAAAATTCGTTATAAAGAATTTAGACAGGTTATATGGCCGTATATAAACGGTTGTTTGAAATATACAAACAACCGTTTATATAAGGCCTTATAACCTGTCAAAAGTCTTTATAACTAATAATATAAACGTCACGCTTATTCAATGAAAAGCGACATTACAATAATGCAGTATTATATAAAACACTTGTATTTGTACAGATATACACAAATGTGAAAATATATTGAAGTTGGTAATTAATGCTGTTTCAAATATACATGCAGTCTTCATCAACGACCTTATTTTATGAAACAATCTGTTAGCATACATTAAAACAAAAACTAAATTTTAGTGACATTTCAATTAATTTCTATTTTACCATATTAAAACCACACATGGTGATCTGTCACAGCAAAACATGAGTGAAATAGTTATCTTATAATACAAAATATGAATGGAAATATACTTATTTCAAAACTTTTGTATATACATTTTCATCTCACGTCATTTGCGTTAAAATACAGAAAACATAGAGTCACGTCGCGGTTAAGTATAATTGCATCAGCAGAAAAAAAATCGTTTCAATGTTGACATTTGTAAGTTTGACTATGTGATAAATAGAAAGTTATCTAGTATTGCATTTTAAGATGCCCCGTACATTCAATCAAAGATGTTATATTTCCGATCCTTACAGATCGTTCAGCACGACATTATTGGTGTGCTTGTGGCAATTTAGTTCTTTCTATTCAGCTATTTTCTTGTTGAGTGGTTCTAGTATTCCTCACTTGAATACTGTTGAATTACCTTAGGATATGTGGCCTGCTTTTTAAATTTGTTATTTGACGTATTATCTGTGATATGCAGGCTTCATAACCTCTTATCCCCTTTCAAAATTCCATTTTATTTAGTTCCGCCCATTGTTTTCTCGTTTACGGCACACGCATATTTTTACTTGGGGACCATATGCCGCTTTTCATGGAATGGCACTTACGTGTCACATAGAAGGTTCCATGATAACCGCCATATGAACACATCTGCGGATGTTTCAAAATTGTACAAGTTCATATTAAATTCTGCTTAAGTCGGTGCTAGGGGGCGTGGAAGGTAATTTGCACTTGACAATACCGTCCATGAACAGGCTCAATCAAACCGAGCCTGCAACATTTTCAATATTGCCGTGTTGTGCTTTCTTAAAGGATTCTTATTTTCTCTATTTTATCGCCACATTTTGCTTTATTGTATTTCAGATGATACTGCCTTGCGTACATTAGGATTGCTGTTTCGTGAAAATTCGGATTCGGCCCGATTTACGAATGTAATTAAAGCCGTGATTTGACTATGTTATGCATGTATTCGTTTAGTTTCATTGCTTAATTATTTGAACTCATTGGATAAAATCATGTATCCAGTTTTATTCGAATCGGAAATTGAATTCAGTTTTAAACCTTCACTCATTCAATATCATTCATGTAATGTATGGAACAAAGTTTTGACGGTTTAAAGAATCGTCAACTGAATATTCCCCTATAGTTTACAGTTATTTCCCTTTAACTATATTGCTATATTTTCCTTTCTTTCATTTTCTATTTTACATTTTGCATAAACCACACATATATAGCTTTTGGCATAATTAATGCAATATTGAATTAGGTCTGAATGTCTTAATCTTGCCATGTTTATACCGTTATTTGATATTCATAGATAAATGATACTTATTTGGCTTTTTGTCTTCATATTTTTGTTTCTTATGTAGAGGATTACTTATTCTAATTAAGTGAAAAATATTTTTTAACCAAGAAATTTTTATTCTTTATTTCATTCATAGCTTATATATCAACAAATGTAAAAAATATCAGCAACAATTGATCCATGAACAGACAACAAATAACAATTAATACTACAGCACATCTATAAGAAGTTCCTTGTAACATAGTGCATTCATACACGTGTCTCCTCAAGTCTTGCAATGTGGCGTCTGTCCAACACGGAATATATCTGAAAAGTATAAACATAAAAATATAAACAACGAGTAGACAAATATTTGTATATTATGCGACAATATAGATTTTTTATGCAGATATGCCCAGATAAAATCAATTCAGTTAAACTGTTGCCTGTCAAATGAATTTGGAAAACCTTTTTTTGGACAGTTATTTACAAGTCAATAAAATTACCTTATCAAATAGTATTTTTGTAGCTTTGTGCTGACTGTACCATCTTGTAGAAAAGAGAAGTTTCTCAGCTCTTCCGACCTTTATACATCGTTCGACAAAATCTAAACACGCATTGCATAGATCTCGAAGCTCAAACTGGGAGGCAGCACCATACAAACCTAAAAAACACAAGAAAAATATCATTTGAGTTTAAAGCATAAATACATTATCAGTATGGCCATTCAAAAGTAATACATCCGATATTATCAGGTGATTTTTGTTACATACGTTTTCAGTAAACTCCTTTTTTTAAATTATAAATTTTGTAATGTGATTAGATAATTATATTTACCAGCAACGGTTTCCTCAGTGATATTCACACTTCCGCAGTGAATAAACTGTACCAACATTCGGAACACTTCAGAATCGTATTTCTTGACAGGGATAATAAGTCTCTGTGATAATGACCGACCAATTCCAACTGTTGCATTTTTCTTACTTTTCTTGTTCTTTTTTTCTTGATCAGCTGCTTCCATGGACATGTGTTTCAAAATTAGTTGATACATGATTCTATACATGATAAAAACATACATATATCTTTTAAAATAAAATAAATAGATGCAATGCCTTTTAATCTGGAATTATAAGAGATGGTGATGAGAAATTACATTGAAATCGAACACTTTATCTAAATTAAACATGGTGTTAAAATGTACAAGAAAGACATAGAAAATGTAAGTAAAACGTATACCAAAATAAAATAAAAAAGGCACGAATAAAAACATTTGATCACATGCATTTAAATAACATATACATGTACATGTAATAGAAAAAATAAGTTTACAAGGTAATAAAATGATGTACTTAAACATACCACACCTATTGCAATGTTTTATTTTGATTACTAAAAAGTTTTACAGGTTTTGACATTATTATTATTTGTTGTTGTCTTTATTGGAAAACAAGTAAGCATATTTATCGGAACCTTGCATATCAGAGAATAAATTATCATGCTCTTTTGCTCTAGACTGTCTAGAGTACAAATCATCATAAACCCTACAGTTGAGCAAACATGTAATTCATTTTCAACTGAATTATCGTTACAAAATGGACAAATTCTATCCCTAATAACGGCCGGTTTCCATACGAATCGGCGCAACTGCTAATCTAAATTTACAAAAGGCTGACCGATGGCGGCAATATCATTTTTGTTCGCTTTCATATTCAAACTTAATAGTTTTATATAATCGTAACATATTACGACCGTGCCCAGACGGCCCAGTATTGTATAAGCTAGTTTGCCATTCATTAATAAAATCATTGAAGGACACAGACTCAGTAACTTGTACAAACGTTCCAGCCACGTGATTGTGTAAAGAAATTCAAATTATTCTTTATTAAAATGATTTTATATGGAAAAAGCAGTTCTTACATGCACAATTAGCTTTATTATATGCAATACGTGCAATCTAGACTCTGCCAAATTTGCTACACATGTTCTTAATCAATCGGAATAACATGTACATTTTGTGTTTTCAATTATTTTTTTCTTACAAATATCTTTATTACAATGTTGTTGCTCTTGCATAAGTCGTAGATCAATGCACATGTATTTATGTTCTTATCTGAATATAAGGAAATTTTCGGTTTTAAGTATGTAAGTTACTATTGGCAGTAATTATGCAAGAGAGTTTTGCTTGATAAGAATAAAGTTATTTGAGGTTCTTAAGACGAGCCGCCAACATCTAAAGCTCCGAATATTGAATTCCTAAGCACTTGCCAAAATTAGGATTGTTGTTGCGTGAATATTCGAATTCTGTTTTGATTATTATGTTCTTCATGTTTTGTTTCATTTTATATTTCGTTGCTTAAAAAGTTATGATTTTTATTTTTTTATTTTTACTGTATGTGTATTGGAGTTCTAAATTTTGACCCCAAATTGAGTATACATGTATAAAATCATGTAAGGCTGAAGATGGCGCACTGACTTTATAGAGAACACGTTTTGTGAGGATTCATACATTGATTAACAATGAGCAATAAATACCCTTCATCAAATGGATGTTTGCGCTACATAGAACATAATAAAGTTTTAACCTTTCCGAGCATCATGAAAAGAATGTTCTCGTATATTTTACAGTTATTTTCATTTAACTGACGACGAATGAACACTAGCTATAGTTTCTCTTATTTTTTTTCTAATTCACATAAACTACACATTTGTAGCTTTTTGAACTACAGTGTATTAAAAAAATTTCTTTGAAAAAGCTATAAATAGTAAAAAATAAAAACCTTGAAGAGCACCAAAAACGGCGAAATTCAAAAATATTGCGGGCTCGTTTTGATGGACCGTAGTGGTAAATGCAAGTCCACATTCCTTAACACCGTCTAGTGCAGAATTCCACATTTAGATGTGAAAATGGCGAAATTTTGAATCCTGTAGACGTGTTTGTAAAAGAATATACTTCTATTGTTCACAGTAAGTTCCCTTTAACTGATGAAATCATGCCGATATATCAAAGTAATAATTATGATTTTTCATTTCTTTATCAACGGTCAGCATTTTTTGAAGGTTTATATATCATTGATTCCGATAATGTGTTGTGTTAAAGTCTGAATACTGCAGTGCTAAAACCTTGACCTAATGCGTTTCCTCCGCAAATAGGCTATGACATGTGACAACAGCATTGAAGGTTCAAACTACAGAAAGATAAAGTTGTTTTCTTTTTTGCTGTTTACATTATATATGTTCAGATTCCTTTTGGAAAGAAAAAGTATTTAATTGCTATAACATAATTATAACAGGTATTAATTTTATTGGCTACATAATGCTAAATTTAATAACTCATACTCACGGCCACGGCTTGTAATTAAAGCTTTGCTTACACTTTCGCTTTTAAACATTGTTTTTATTGCACTCGGGGTAGTTTCTCTTTCTCATATTTTTTAACCAGCAATTGCGCAATCAGCGCACTAGAATGGCGTTGCCAAATGAATGGTGATTTAACTAAGATAACCACGTTGTTTCTTTCTTTCTATGATTAGCTCTCTACTACACGTGGTTTAAAAATATTTCAACGTGAATAACCGGTTGTCAGTTGGTTTTTTTTTTTTACATTTTGATACGTTGCAATTAAAATGGCACCATAATGATTCATGCAAAACATTGTCATTTTAAAACGCATTCCTTTCTAATTAAATCAAATTACAATATACTTTTAATTACAGATAAATAACGTAACCAATATAATATATATAAAAACATGATTTGTACAGCTGAATTTTTTAAAGAGTGCAATAGAGAAAATAAAAATCCCCAAAGAAAGTCCAAAACGGAAAATTAAAAATGTTGCAGGCATGGTTTGATTGAGCCTGTTCATGGACGATAGCGTCAAGTACAAGCTACCATCCACGCCCCCTAGCACCGGCTTAAGCAGAATTCAACATGTAGACATGAAAATGGTGACATTTTGAATTCAGAAACACACACAGATGTGCTCATACGGCGGTTATCCTGGAACCTTCAATTTGACACTTAAAAATTTGTATTATGCCCATCGTATGGTATATAGTGGCAGAACAAGGAAAGTCAAAATAAATTTAATTCATTTCAATTTTATTACTTACTTTGAGCACGGATTTATATTACAAATAAATAATATAAAAAGTAATATAAATCCGTGCTTTGAATGAACGATAAATAAATCACATGGCCCAGGAAAATTCCTGTAAATATCTATCGGAAATTACCTTTAACTTCAAATTATAAAGTGTGGGGCATTCTTTTTATAGTTTAAGCAAATTTATATTTTTTAACATATTCCAATATCAACCCTTGCTCAGTCACCATTTCTAGTCAGTCTTTTAAAATTCATATTCAGTTCAGCTCAATTTGACAGTGACAAAATGAGCACGTCACCAAATATACAGCAGTCTATATCAACGACCATTGACACACACTTTCATAAAATGAAACAGTCTGTTACTTAAGTTAGCATATATAAAATAATAAAACAACTCAATTTTAGTGACATTTCATTTATTTTCTATTTTACCATATTAAAACCACACATGGTGATCTGTCACAGCAAAACAGGAGTAAAATAGTTTATTTTACAATACAAAATATGAATGGAAGTATACTTATTTCAAAACATTTATGTCATATCAAAATAATATAATTATGTATTGCACCAAAATTATTGCACATTAAGATTTTTGTCTTTATTTCACTATCCTCAGAATTTAATTATCTATGATTCCAATACAATTTCACTAACAGTCATTTTAAGTACACAAGAAATTAACTTTTCACATTTTTCCTCTCATTCTAAGGACTACATTTGTTTATTTTCTTTTCTGTCATAATGTCACATGGAATCTTCCTCCATTGTGAATATCTTGTTACCATGATGATCAATCGACTTTCAAGACTGAAAAATATAATAAAATTTCAAATAAAAATACAAAATTATAGAAGTACATTTTTATTCATCTACAATAAATATATGTATAGTTAAAAATTCAAATTTACATATTAACTAAACCATAATTGGCCTTTCAAAACATCCATTTTGAAACAGTGAAATATTAATTTTAAGAATATCAAATGATAATTTAAAAGGTAGTCAACCATATATAGACTATACACAAACTTATAGTTCCTTAACCAATAAACAGAAAAAATTTCATGAAGAAAAAAATATTGTCTAATGAAGAAATAAATATTGTTTAAACCAAATATTTTAGTCATGCCAGCCATGTACTTTAAAGGCCCATATGCCTCAGAAATGCTATTGTTTTTATTTCTCAAAAACTGTTTATTTTTTGGTATCTTGTTATGGTTTCCAAAAACATACTCATTTGATATATGCATAAACTCTAGTTCAGCTGGCAATTGGTATAATAATTATTATAGTGAATTAGTATTTTGTATTGAATTCAAAATACTAGTTTGTTTACATTTTGGTACTTTCTGATACATATCTGAATGTTCAGCGCTACTTTTTTCAGTTGTAAAACATCTAACATGCACTTAATCAATTATTTAAACAATATTAAACACATGTTTGATATTTCTAAACAACTAAAAATATGGATTTCTGAGGCATATGTGCCTTGAACTAGTGTAACAATATCTTGAAAACTCAAGAAATATTTTTTCCTTACCTTGTTATCAATTATTGTACAATAAAGTGATGTCTGACAGGTATGGAGTGAATATTATACATCATGAGGAGTGAACAGCTTCTTTTTATCACATTTTATATCATTACCCAGTTCTTTATAACTGAAATACAAAATCATATCATGTTTAATTGACACAATAATTACTTTGAAAATAAACAACTAATCATTACTGTTTTTCATTAATAGAGCATTCTCATTAGCTAAGAATGCTTCAAACAGATCATTGTTCCCTTCTTTTCAGCTTTCAAAGAAAAAGCTTAAATGAGCCGCGTCACAACAAAACCAACGTAATGCGTTTGCGACCGGCATGGATCCAGACCAGCCTGCGCATCCGCGCAGTCTGATCAGGATCCATGCTGTTCGCTATCAGTTTCTCTACTTGTTATAGGGTCTGTAAGCGAACAGCATGGATCCTGATCAGACTGCGCGGATGCGCAGGCTGGTCTGGATCCATGCTGGTCGCAAACCCATTATGTTGGTTTTGTTGTGACGCGGCTCAAATGAAACTCCAAATACAGAATTATTGAAGGAATATGTTCTATTCAACTATCATCAATCTTAAATGAGCTGCGTCACAACAAAACCAACGTAATGTGTTTGCGACCAGCATGGATCCAGACCAGCCTGCGCATCCGCGCAGTCTGATCAGGATCCATGCTGTTCGCTATCAGTTTCTCTACTTGTTATAGGGTCTGTAAGCGAACAGCATGGATCCTGATCAGACTGCGCAGATGTGCAGGCTGGTCTGGATCCATGCTGGTCGAAAACCCATTATGTTGGTTTTGTTGTGACGCGGCTCAAATGAAACTCCAAATACAGAATTATTGAAGGAATATGTTCTATTCAACTATCATCAATATACAAAACTCAGTTTGAGATTCCTTATGATTAAAGGGCATGAACTCAAAATTCCCTTTTATTAGGTTGACATGAATTCTCTCCCTTGCATTGAGCTTACTGACTGATAACCCATGTTTGCTTGTCTATGTGTCAGAGCCCATGTGTTTGTTATTTTGTCTACATCTTATCACTCATTGTGCACAGAGTCAACAAAACAATGTCGTAAACTCTGTTTACACCAATTAAAATCAAATTGCATGTCAACAAATTTGTAGATAATCTCAATTGAACCCCATTAAAATATTTCTGTTACCATGAAAAAGAAAATAGAAGCCAAACATCAGTTAAATTTTGCTATAGGGGAAAAAATTGAAACTCTTTGATGATAATAATTTTTGTCAGACAAATTGTTGTCATTTTATTCAATGCTTTTTGACTCATTTCATATCCAAATTTCACAAAAATATAAAAATAATTCAAATTTGTTAAATACAATAGATTTGAAAAATGTCTTCATAAAATGAAGAATTTTATATTGTGAATATTCCTAATTAACACACATGTTTTTAATTCTCAGGAGGCAGCTAGTTTACAACTTGAATATATATTTGTTTAAGTTTTTCTTCATAAGGCCATTTTATACAAATTTTGTTCCCTGCATGCCTCGTGATGAGTCAAAATATTTCAAGAAAATCAAACTTGTGAAAAAAAAGATTATAGGAAAATTAAAAAGATTCTAGTGTTAAGTAATAATGGACATGTACATGTTTCTGTGTGATAAATTACAGATTTTGCACTATTTTTCACCATATTTTTATTGTTTGACTAAAACAAAATATGTGGATTATAAGTGCTGCTTGCAATGTGTTAAATACTTTACTTATTCACTTCATAATATTTTCCTTTCATATACATTTTAAAATTTTCATGAAAATAAGCATGAATTTGGAGGCATGCTGTTTTAAACTGTTTATTAATTAAAAGATAATTTGTTTAAATAGTTACCTGGCACTATTAGCATTGTGACTAGTTGAGCTTTTGTGTCATACGTAAATATCACTAACTGGTGGGTTTTTCCAATCCTCTACTTCAATGGTAGGATCTATGTAATAACTCCCTGATGTTGAACTACCATCGTCTATATGTGTTGTGTCAACGGACTCATCCACTGTCAGTCTACCGTTTGGTAGATTAAGTCCATTTTGAAACTTTTTATACATTAATAAGTCTTGAACAACATTTTTTGACGGACTTTGTCTGTCTAGAAAGTGTGTTGGTGATGGTGTACTAAAGAAGCTTGCCTGATTTTGACTACATGGCGTCGGACTAGACGTGGCGTACAAACTTGGACTGACAGGTGGTGAAAAATGTACAGGAGATTGAACTGGTGACTTAGATCTGTATGGATTATGTTTGAGAGGTGGGGGTCTTTCTGGTGGTCTGTCCAAACTCTGTGAATGACCTCGGGCAATCACTCGAGGAGGTTTTGATGGTTTGTGTGGCGGTTTTCCTCTACGACCGTTTTGTTTGACAAGTAGCTGTAACTGTGACATTCTCAAATCTCCTGAAAATACAAACAATCTGATATTATACAATCATTCAACATTGTTAACAGTGGTGTTTGAAAATCGTCATATTAAACCATTCTGTTATAAAAATTAAATTGATTTACTACATACATGTACAGGTTATTGTCCTAAGTATTTTAATGAGTTGACAAGCACCAACTGTCACGTTGTAATAAAAGAAATATGACATATATGCAAACATATTGATTTCATTACAGAAAAGGTATATAATCTTTAGGTGAGGCAGACAATGATTGTCCCCAAAAAATTCCCATAGATATGTTAGTAAATTAAGGAACCTATAGATATTCCAAATGAAGTAAACTGTTTTTCACCTGTTGTTTCAGGTGAGGGACTGTTTATTGTATCTGTGTTTTTTAAATAAATGCAACAGTTGTGAAAACTGGGAAATTACTACATACAGAGATAGTGTACCGCTGACCTTCACTGTCTTCCGGTAAACAAACATACATGATAATTTAGATCAATTATACGGCCCCTATATCTTACAGTAAGTGACCAAATAAGTACATTATACAAATTATAATGTCTTTAGCTTATAATGAGGAACAATTTAGTACAAACTGTTTATCATAACAAAATACCGTGCAGACAGACGCTTGTAATAAACCACTAAGTAATGCAATACATCCCCATGCATTTATACAGAACATGTTAACGATCTTGCTAATTACATTCTAATTATCATTTACCAGTCAAGCAAATGTAATATGAAATAATTATTCAGCACCATTTATTCTTTAAAAAAAAAACATTCAAAATATCACGTTATTAATTTTATCATTTGAACAAAAAGAAATCTGCGAGAACATTTTCATTGAATAGAAAAATGACAATGATGTACTGACTTTTAATTTTTTTCAAAAAATGAAAAAAGAAAAATGCCCGAGCCTTACTATTTGCAAAAAGTAATTAAGGATGATTTGGGATTCATATTTCCTTCACCCTATCATCATGTAGAATTTAACACCACCATTAAATCATTTAAACTACTATAAAACCCAATCATTGACTGCACATGATACCTGGTGTAAATTTCAAAGTATTTAAATGTTCTTTCCTCCAATAACAAGCACTACATTTATTTAGAAACCTATCATTAAAATTTTATAATGACATATGCATTTTTAAAGTTAATTTTTGCATTTTTAAACACTAAGTATGACTGTTTAATTTTTGTTCTATTTTATAGTTTTCAGAAGGAAACATTATCACCAATTCTTTTATCTAAAAAGTATCCTTTTTAAATATTTCACAGAGTAATTCGTTAATTTTATATCATTGACAGAAAAAAAATGCACACAACATGTGCAAAGCTGAGAAAATAATTATATAGAAAAACAGCATTTAAAATAGGGGAAAAAATCAAACTGAATGCTAAAATTATTACAAAATGATCTAATATAATACAATATTTAAATATTAATTTCAATTTTTAGAGTAATTCTGTTTCATTAAAACATTTAGCCCATATTTTCAAAGCCAACACTAGAATCAAGTACATGTAGCTGGAATAGATTTAAAAATCTCTTAATGATAATGATTGAAAAGATATCATATTTTTATGTTTTTTTGCTTTGGACCTCAATGGAGTTCCTTTAATCACTACGCAGCTTCACTCATAAAGGTTAATTGTGGATATTGTTAATTACCTGTATCAGATACACTGCCACCTATACCACTGTCATAAGTAGCTGTGTCCGCAGAGAGGTCACTGTGAAGGTCCTCTTGTTTCTTGCATTCTTTTCCAGCATCATTTAGCTGAAAAAATAAATATTTAGTTTGTTATCATATATTTCATCATGAAATGTCAAGTAAATATAATTGTTCTTATCAAAAACTTTTCTGACAACAATTCTTTTGTAGAGATACAAGCATCAGTTTTCTTAGATAAATAGATTAACTGTAACTTAAAGTCATGAAAAAGTTTGAAGCTTTTCCCTTGAACTAACCAGTACTGGCGCCAGTCATCATGTGAGTGAACAGTGGTTGAAAAACCATGCTCGCACTAACAACCTCTGGGTTGAGAGGCAGACACTTTAACACCTTGGCAAAACATTATCACCCTTAACAAGTTTATTTCTTGAAAGAAGTCAATAGTTCTATGAGAATACCAAGATGGCTACGGTATTATTTTGTATGTTTCTTTTACCTCAAAAAAATTCTTTATATATTAATAATATATATACCAATGTATATACAAAATACAACTTTGTACCTATTTTTGTTGTTGTTTTTTTTTATTCTTTTTTTGAAGTTGAACTCCTTAAATCTTTTAAATAAGTTATTATTAAATAAAGAAGACACACTTTCATTTAATTTCAAATTATACAACATAAATTATCATTAAACAGTGCAAACGTTTAGGAAGAGTAATTTCTAATTAAAATTACATTACACAAAGCATTAAAATATAACATTAAACAGAATAAAAGTATGTGAGTTTCAGATGGCAAGAATACTTAAAACATGATATCTATCATAAAAACTTATTTCTGAACATTGTATATATTTATAAATACATAAAAAAAGGCGCTAAGATGTGATATGGGTCATTTTTCTCACAAGAGGGTCTGTTGAGACCATTATAACTTCAATATTTACCATAAACCGCAATTATTTTTGTGGATAAATTTTAGTAATTGAATACTAAAATCTATTAAAATCACCACAAAATGTCCGCTTTAAAAGAAGATGATGACAGATACGGGTTTATGGAGATACAATTGTTCTCCGACAATGTGATTTTTGGCATTATTTACTATTTAAGGGTAACGGAGCCTCGGCACATAGTAAGTGATAATTACATAGATTAGATGTGTTGGCAAGATCATGATTTTAACGCCATTAGTCATTCAGCATATTGAGACAAGTCGACGATCTTCATATATATAAATATTCAATCTTAATAATATGAATATAAAAAAAGAACCAAGTTTTGAACAAACATTGAAAGAAATTAGTACAGTAAGTACAGTAAACATGTCATAACAATATGAATTCAACTAAGGTAGAAATGTACCATAAATAATAACATAAGTTGACTTAAATGATTATGAAGTATTTTTTATCATTTATTATGAACTAATTGAGTGTCAGAGTGAAAAGATTGATATGATTTGTAGATTGAAGGAGCATATAAATACTTCTATCTTAAGTCCTACATATTTTTCCCTATAAATTTTTCAATTTTGGTAATTAATTATGATGAAAATAATCAGGTGCATCAATATTATACAGCAAAATGGTATTGTTATTATATGCTGGTCATATAAATAATACCATTCAAGCCCTAACACTTACTTGGGTTCAACATCTTATAAATGAAAATAGAAAACTAGTCTGACACAAATATTAAATACATGTATGTGATTTTGTCTTACCTCAGATTGACTGGTCCATGGTTTGTTGTGGTTTTGAATATATGCTTGATGTATTCGTAAAGAAGCCAGTCTGTTTAACTGTACTGTACTTTCTCCATTTGATTCCATCGTGGAATCCATACTCTTTTCTCTTACATGGACTGTGTCCTAGAAATATGAAAAATATTGTTTGTGAATGAAAAAGACATTTAATGAATTGTGACAACAGCAGATAACAATTGTCTTAAATAAGATTTAAACACTCCAAAAAGGTAAGTACATAGTTTATATCATGTAAAGACCATCAGTTATATAAACAATAATATAATGATCAAAGACCAGAAAAATTGTTATGTTGCCATCAAGCATAATGTATGAACAAAGTACGATAGTGCCAGAATGTAGGAAGCTGTCCTGCCAAGCTTCAGTTAACTTTTTAAATTACTGCTATACCAGACAGACTAAAAATCAGATTTCATATTGAATCTCTCCCAAATCTATCATGTATTGATTGAAATCAAATTCCTTAGTTCATACTTCAGGGGTTGGTTGCACATTTTTACAGGTTCTCAAATTTCTATCAACTTAAAACAAATTCAAAAAGATTGCATGGTGCGAACTTGTGAATTTTTAAAAAAAGGTAGCCCTACGGATCCTATCTGTAACCACATACGTGCAATGCTTTGTTTAAAATCATTGGGCGAAATAATCTATGGAATCAATTAAATCAAATTAATCTTGCATTAACGCAGCTATCTATTTTCCCAGGAGCAATATTCTACCTGATCGTTAAACCTGGATTAATTTTCAAATCAAATTTATTATTCTAAACATAGACAATACAATTGCTAACCAGTCATGTAATTATTCTGATTTATAAGGGTTTAATGATTTACGTTAATTTATACGCGTTTAATGATTTACGTTAATCATTGAGACATGACAAACATTGTATACCAGTTTAATTGATGAACTTGTGCTGATAATAAAGTAATTTTGTATCTATGTTTACAAACATCATGAAAATCAGTGTTCCAAATGAAAATTCATTTAAAAAAAGGCAAAATTCTCATCATTTTATTGAGCTGCTGTAATCTACAATAAAGGTTTGTTCTGTCTTTGATTTTGTCTAATGCAGGCTTATTATATGAAAAGCCTATCTAAAATAATTCAAGCCAAAGAAAATTGTGACAAAAACAGTTGTTTAAATGAAGAAATATTTTTATTTTAAAATTATTTAACAAAAAAAAAAACCAGAGGTCTTCTTGCATTTGCGCTAAAACTTTATCAGTATGATTATGTATGCCATTGAAAAAAACACTTTTTTTTCATAGTGATAACCTGATTTGCATTAAAACAGAAAAACAGCACAAAAGGGACTGTAACATCAGACTGTATAAATTAAAAAAACTTCATAATATTTTATACTATTTATATACATTGTACCTTGAAAAGAAAAAGAGTCTAAAATAGTTACACAACCCGTACACACATCATGTGACCAGGTATCATGTGACCAGATATCACATGACCCAGATATCACATGACCTGGTATCACATGACCTGATACCCACATATCACGGCAGCTGCCAGCAACCTGACTCTACTTGATTTCCCATTGTCAATATCAAGTTTTTCACCATTTATCAACTAATACCGGGGAAATGATATCAACTTAATAAAAAGCCGGTTTGTACTTAGATTAATTTCCTGCCGGCAAAGATCACTGCGATATTGTTTGACGCAAAAATTCAACTGTTTTTATTAATGCAAATAAGTGTTTCCATTTGAAACAGACATCAGGTGATGAGAAGAGTAATAGTCCCCGTCACTCCATCCCTCCACCATGCAGCCTGGTTATTTGCATGCAATTATCAATATGTCCTGATAATTACGTCTTTCTTCCATAATCGTAAAAAAAAAAACTCATCAAACTTTTACAATGCATTGATTTGATTTTTTGAAATTACACAGATAGCAAATTAAAAATAAAAAATTAAAAAAAATCAGGAAAAAAAATAAAGCATCAGCATGTGTGTGTTGTATTAAGCATCTGGGGACGTTTGCAATAAATACAGCTTCAAAAAAACATACAAAAACCAAAGAAAAGAGAAACCTGTCACATTGCCTTCTTATTTCTGCCTCAATAAATTTCATACAATATTATATTGTGATAATGATACTGTCATAAGGTAATTGTAGTTTCTACAAAATCCTGTTGTCATGGTGATATCTTGCTTAAATATACTTTATATCATATCAGCATGTAATTAAAGTCATAAAATAAATAACAGATATTTATACATTGCTTTTTGCTTCATGAATCTGTCACCAGCTGCATCTGGACATTTTTACAAAATTATAATATCATTTCTGGTACAAAAGTTATAATATTCTATTCCTACAGGGTCATTTTACACCTGACATGCTGAAATACTATACTCCCATTTCCTTTTTTTTTCGCCCTTGTTAAAAGAAAAAAACATGACCGACTTTATCACACAAACAAAAAGCATGTTTTTTGCGCAACTGTTAAATATCATCTATACAACAAGTTTTCGACCCTCTTTATTTCAAATTCTAACTTGAAACATTTGTATCTTATTCATGTTTTATATATTTTTTTTATAATTTTCTTCATTTAAATACAAAGATTATCTTCAGATTAAAGTCAATTTGTAGTGTATACAGACTGTTCCTTACTGGCCACTGTTTTGACCTTTTCATTCCTTTCGCCATGTCTAACATTTTTATCAATTTTATTAACCAGAGTCACAGAGGTGAAATCTGACAAAAAGATTTACGCATTTCAAACCTATAAAAATTCTTTAAGTCTATTGAAATGAAGGATTAAACTTTAAAACTCTAATCATAAATTCATTTTTGGGGGCATAAAAGACACATTAATATGGCTCCATACCGAGTAAGAGTTAACAAAACCCGATAAATTTCAGCTTTCTGCACCCTTAAAATGACGTTTATTTGCTTGACTCACTAGGGTACCTTATTTGGGCCACAACAAGACACTTGTTCGGTAAAACAGTAAACATATTCTAGAAAGTTGTTAATATTACAAGCTACATTTCAAAAACAACCTTATCACATTAAGTCAATAATAATTACATGTTACTAGTATTTGATGTGTGGTCTTAACACCTGTATAACTGATCTGAATTATTTCATACAAATATGGTATTATATGAAGAGTACATAAATATATATGTGCACTTTGAGTAGGACCTCAACTAATGTATAAAGCAAGCTATATTTGATTAGAGTAAATTCCTCCTTATGTAGAATAATTTCGGAAATCATTCAATCAGTATTAAGCACTGTTTTTATGGACCAGGAATCTTAATACAAAATTTTTAGAAATGCCTTACTATATCATTAAAATATTGTTATTATCAGGACACAAGAAAACAGTGCTTATTCATAGGTTTGCCTATTACTTTGTCTAATTGTAATGGAAATTAAAATTTACTTCATCTCCTGTATACTTAAGAGTTATCATTTCTTTGAGAATTATACTTGATATTCATACTATATTTAAAGTACATTTATACTATATTTATTCTGCACTTATACTATATTTATATTTATTCTACATTTATACTTCACATGACTGTACATAATTATGTATTTATATTATATTCATACTATATTTATATTATATCTATACTATATTTATGCTGCATTTATGATTTATACTATATTTATATATTATTTGTACTAAATTTGTACTATATTTATATTTTTACTATATTTACACTTTGTGTTCATAGGAATGTCAAATGGAAGAATAATCAATCACTCAGTTGTATTGATGTAATACCCAAAATATTTTAAGATACAATGCTGTGACATTCTATTTAACCAGACTTCATTGCATTTCTGTAATCACCCACTGTTTGATACACCTAATAAATCCGGGATGACAAATAACTAAATTGTCCGGCAAGAAAACTAAAATCTCATTGTCCGAAGTGTCATGGTGTCCTGCCCTATTATTGTAAATTAATTTACAACTAACAAAGAATCAATTACATTTTATTCACTGATGAAATATTTAAAACAGAGCTGCAGGGGATATTAAACTGTGATGTTTTGCCGTCACATAATTCAATACAACAGGACGGTACGGTCTTCAGTGACCAGGTACTGACCAAAGATGACCGAGGTTGAAAGTGTCACGTTCTTCGTTCAAACTGGCGTGTCAACACTTTACAAATATCCTTGTGATGTTTGAAAGTTTGGGAAACTATCTAATTAAAATATTTAATTTTTCTAGAAGATTGTTGAAATTTTATAACAGCCACATACCAAGCTCAAAAGCTAAATTTTTCCGTACATGTAGTTAAGACTTGTCATTTTTCTGTAATATTACTCATAGTTAGATGTCTAGAATGATGGAATTCTAAAGTTGTACAAATACATGACAAGAATTTATGTAATATGAATTTATGTAACATGAATTTATGTAAGATATTCATACATAGGAACATGCTTAAATTTGTTTCATACTTTCACAGTAGGACCATTTTATTGCTTATAATTATATTCAATAAAAGGCAATGTTTAGGTAATTTTCTGTATTGAAGCAGATACACTTTAAGCTGATTATAATAATACTGCATTGTAATTGTATATATTACATGAAGTAATATAGGCACCGAGGGATTTACAGATTATCTTATGAAGTGTGCAGTTAATCTGTTAACACCGTATTAGGATTAGCTGTACTGGTCCACTTTGTTTGTGCGCATGGATTATAGTGCAGCCCAAATCATATCTATTCATAGTAAATTGAAAGAGCCGCTCTAGCTGTTATTTGTTGTTTTCTTTTTTCGTTTCTAGTCAAAACAAGCATATTGAATTAAGAAATCATTCACAATTATGATGATAAATTGATGATGACAATGGTGGTGATGATGAAGATGATGAAAGATAATCCTGATACTGATAATGGTAGTGATGATGATAGTAATGATGATGGTAATGATAATGGTAATGATGATGATGGTAATGATGATGGTAATGATGATGATGGTAGTGATGATGATGATGATAATTATTGTGATGATGCCTTACTTCCAATCTTTGAAAAATGTAATCAATGAATTTCAAAGGAAAATTTCTATTATTTTTTATTGAAAACAAGACATAATTTACTGCTCATAGAAAGAATGAATTATACAAATAAAACTTAGTAAGTTAAACTATAAAAGTTAATGTACTTTACTTTCTATGGTTAAATCTATAACATAAATGAGTAATAAAGCAGACAAATATCTGTTACTTTCAACATGGTACAAAGTTATCTCGCCTAAAATCAGAAAATTACGGTCAATTTTAATGTACATTTAGCAGATTTTAATGCAATACTAATCATGGGGTTGATTCAGTATTAACAACTGGCCTTCAGATAAATTTTGAGGTCTATTCAAAAAGTTATTGCCATTAAAAATGATTCATTTCGTTCATATATAATACAGAATGTACAAAGGAAATAACTTTTTCCTATTATTCTGTATTTTGTGATGATAATAAGTGGCGACATAATTCTAAAATACTTAAATTACAATATGAATAGAGGAAAATGAAAGTATTAAAGTTTAATTAATTATTTTACTTGCTGATTTATACGATAAATCATATACTTTATTATAACTGATTAGCAAAGAACTATTAATCAAATTTTAAAATCAAGAACTTAAGGCACGATTTTCTTCATCATCTTCATAAAAGACATTGAACTAGATTTAGCAGATATTGAAATCAAAGTGAACAAAATTGCAGACTCAATCATGATTTATACTGTCTAAAAAGAACTATTTGATTAATGAATCTTGAATAAGCTTGTTTTCATTTGAAAACTTATAATTTCAATATGATTATGATATATTCTAAGAATATTAAAATGTTAGAAAGCTATCTGCAATAAAGATAGAAAAAAAAAGTTCAGTTATGATCACTATTTTTATATATTATTTTGTTCAGTAGCTCTTTGAGAGCTGCCCAGTACCAGACTATAAATACATATTCAGTGAGTTGCTAAATTAAGCTATTTTTAGATGGGAAATTCCAAAATTCTCGTCAGATAATTTTTTATTCTAAATGGGACAAATTCACTTGAGACACAATGCATTAGCTGTGACAAAATGTTGGTGACATATTGATCAAAAACCTGTTTATACTTATCCTGTATTGATGTTAAAGTAAAAGTTTAGTTTTATGTGCTGATAGATATATTAATGAGACATTAAACAATACCCGACAGGTAACTTTGATCTCCAATGACCATCGTGCATTGTAATGCTACATTGACCATTACCGACTGCAGGGCACGTTTTAATACCTCGACACCATTTTAAATATAACTGATTAATGGACTGGAAAGATAACTGGTACTGATCTTATGGCGGCAGTTGAATTGTGTGGAAAATTCTGCCCCTGGGTAGATGACTTTGATAATGGTACGATCACGGTGTATCCAAACACTGCCGTAATCCAAACTCATTAAAACAATAGCGAATGGTACTGACTATGGCTATCATGTTAAAACGCAACATTATTTAATGCTGTTGTACCTGGACTTTATTACCACTGTTTCATACAAGGCGACTTTCAATTTTCAGTTTTAGTTGATATATAGGTGATTTTATCACAGAAAGAGCGTTTTTACAGGCAAAAATTAATATAAAAGAAAAGTTAACATCCAACGCTTGCTTTGCTTTGATATTTTTAAACTTAAAATAATATCTTATTATTACTTCACTGCAATCAAAATTATCTTGTACATTTGCTTTTTAACCTGAAATGCCCAGTGGCAAGTTTTAGCTTGAAACAAATTTGTTAAAAGTATTTATTTTATCTGTCAGTATTCAAACACCGCCAAACACGAGGAAACTGTTGTAATAATTACCTATTACTATCATTTACAACTTGAACTTGTCAAATTTTTGATGCATTATATGTCATAAATATTTAATAAACTGTCAGTAAATTTTAAACAATTGCATGTTTTTAACATGTATGAAGTTGTCATGTGCACTGTATTTTTTTTGGTTGGCATTTTTTTACCTCCCTGAAACTAGCAGAAAGAAGCAAATATCATAATGATATTAAATGTCCACCCACAGAATTTCTTTATTTTATTTTTTTAGTCTGACATATTAAAGCTGCACTGCTTGATCCTAATGTACAAGAAAGAAAAAAAATCTTTCATAACAATTTACATCATTTATATGGAATGACATTAACTTAATTTTTCATGACTTTAATTAGAAAGTAAATACATACTGTAGGAAAAAATACCTTATATTTGTACAAAATAATAACTGTTGAAGATCTTTTTGTTCTTGGTAATTAGAAAAAAGATGTTTTTCTTACTCAAAATAAAATCATAAAGTCAATTTTATGGGCTGTATCAGCTTGGTATTGGTCATTGTGGTACTACCAATATTGGCTTGTATATGCCATCACGAGTCATGAATTATGACCATTACAATTCTGACCATATATTAAACCATTGGCTGCTCAAATGTATTATTTTGATATTAAAATCTACTGTTTTAATTTTTTTTCATCATAATTATAAATATGTTAATTATAGTTATTCCTTGTTGTTAACATAGGCAAGAAAAGTTGCAAATGTGTAACTATATGTTGTTTTAATAAGATTAGTACACCAGTTAGATTATTTTATCTCGTTTTTGTCATGTACATGTGCCCGATCTTAGCAACAGTTATCAATCCCTTTTTTATGAAGCCAAATAAAGTCTGCCTGAATGACGACAGTCTGATTACAACACAGAAAATCTGGTGTACAGGAACGCCCATCAATTTTGCTTGACCTGACGACATCGTCATAAACGCCTTAGCCATCTTTAATAACCTTCCAATGCATTAACCAACATATGCCAACCTTTCTAATCGGTCCGAACCACCTTTTATCCACAGGAAACTTAACGATTTTCACAGCCAATATATCAAAATTCATGACAAGCGTAATTTTAATTTCAAACTTTCGGACTCGTAAGTTTTCGTGTAACAGGCAAGGACTTTAAGCGATTAACACACTTTTGCACGAAGCAGGAGTGACAAATCACAGAGACAAGGGATGGCTTCAATTAAATCATCGATTCAATAGTTTTATTGTTAATAACCTCTCAAAAGCTCCGGATTAAAATCAAACTTGAAAGAGACTTTATTGGGCTTTTTACTTTAATTTTCCCCTTGTCGGAGCACCTGTTTAAAGGAGAGCTACTTAAACTATTTTTTTGATCATTTTTCCTGCCCGCTTTATCTACCTAAGTAACAACAGTTCCTAATCTTAATCATTCCTCTGAAGAGGTGATTAAATTTAAATCGGAAAAATTTCAAACCAAATTTAACACTTCACGTAATATCTATGGCCATGTTATACACGCTTGTTTATTTAATAGTACTCGATTACATAGACAAGTAACTGTCCAAGTTTGAAAATATTTGAAATTTTAGGATAAATGTTATTTCAAGGCACGACTTTGTCGAGAGCCTCTTGAAAATTTCTTTCAACACTTTAAACAGGGCTTTTGTCATATGGGCCACACACTTCACACTGTTACGCAACTTCTAGCTTTCTAATTTAAACCTTCTTGTCTTTAATTGAAACATATCCTATCTAACTATACAAAGAATTTCTTATTTTAAAATATCTCCAGCAATGATATTACGGAAAGTCTAAATCACTTTTTTTAAATAAATGTCCCCCGATATAATTACACCCTCAATTTTTTTATACACATAATGGAGTTTAATATTTTCAAATAAGAAAACTTTAATAACAGATAAAAAGATTTTCACGATATTTTAAAGGTGACACTAGTAAAGAAATAGTATTATACTGAAAGCGATTTGTCATGACGGTGATTTAGAGAATGATGAAAGGAAGTGATATCAACCTGTAACCTTGATTGTTAGAAGTTTCGAGGACACACACTTTGACGCAAACAATTTTTAATAGTCGCTTAAACTCTTATTTTTGTCATGTCATAGAACTGTTAATTAAATAGGAAGAAAATTAATAGGTTTACAGGCTGTTAGCTCAGTCGGTAGAGTTGTGGAATGCTATTTTGTGTGTCCCAAGTTCGAACCCAGTCAGACTACTGATCTCTCATACACTACGACACACCTACTGTGACATTTCTATAAGAAGAAAAAATGCTCTCAATTTTGTAACTATTGATCACTTTTATTTTTCCCTCATTGCAATTTTGAGCACACCAAAGTCAGAAAAAAATATAACCTGATTTTAGAGAAAAGAGAAAGTGTTATTTAAGCATGTAGCATGTGAAAAAAAAATGTCAATATTTCTTTAATTGTACTTGAGAAAAAAAATGCAATACATATAAAAATGGCATAAAAAATTTTATGGCAGAAAAAAAGAGCATACTGTCAAATGACACAGAATTCATATTTCTTTTTTAATTTTCATTTAAACAGTTAGCAATATGCTACTGGAAATGTGGACAATATTTTGGTGCAATTGAAATAAAAAAAAGATGACAAGGGAAATTTTAATACTGGAAAAAAATGTAAAATGTTGCAGACTCTATGTTCGAGTAAAAACATAAGAAACATTACAAGCTGTCATGTATAGGGAACAATTATAATGACTCATTCTCAGCATAATCTCAACAACTTATGACAAGTCTTTTTGAAATATGTAAACATGACATTCTAGCTTTTAACTTTGATGGCAAACAAATGCAGAGATGAAAACATGTCAGTTACAAACTTTAAACAATTCAAACATGTATTAGATTTCTAGGTTATATAATGAATGTCTGAGGGATATAATAGATCTAATATCAAATAAGAAATATGAATATGTTTGATAAAAATTATTCAAAATAAATTGTATTTTCTTCTCAGCAGAGCAATATATTTCCTTTTATTTTTTAAGGTAATATTAACACTGCCTAAGACCAAATTAGAAATAAAATATCTAATAATTGTTTGATATACCTGTAATTTAAGGTGAAAACTGCTGCTTACCTGAAAAGTAACATCTTTTGACTTCCCATCATTTCTGTCAATTGTCATTGGTGGTAATATAGGAGCTGATGGTACCATGCCATTTTTATATGGTTTTATGGGCTCGGGACTTTTACGACCTCCAGTTGATGAAAATCCTGAATCATTGTCACCATTATGATTGACATCTCTATTACCAAGGAACTTTCTTTTCTGCAAATCATGCCTTCTAACGATCCAGATGATGATTAAAATGGCTGCTGCTATAACAACAGTTACAACAACAACAATAATGGCTATGATGATATTTTGTTTATCAATAGCAGGGTCTCTTACGCCCACAGCAGTCACATTCTTTGTAAGAACATCAATTGTGACTTTTGTCCATGCTCGTTTAACTGGTGTTCCATTGTCGGACACAACAATTTCAAGAAAATAGGAATCTACTTCAGTTTCATATAGTTTCCTAGCAACATAAATCTCCCCATTTCTACCTATTCGGAACATTTTTGTATCGTTTCTCTTGAAGATGCTGTAAGATAGCTCAGCGTTTTTGCCTTCATCAGCATCAGTTGCCTCTATCTTCATTACTTGTGTGTCAGCAGGCATCATGTATGTAATGTATTTTACAACATTAGTATCTTGTGGATAACTTATTATAGGAGCATTATCATTAATGTCTGTTACAAATACAGTAACATTCGCCGTGTTACTTCTCCTAATATCAATGCCATTGTCAATTGCCAAAACTTGAAAATCATAGTGCGCAATTTTTTCTCGGTCAAAACTATCTACAGTTTTTAGAGTTCCGTCTGGTAAAACCTCGAATGGCAAATTTGAATTGTTTCCTACAAGACTGTACGAGACATATCCATTTCCACCATCATCTCTATCTTCTGCAGTTATTTTACCTAGAACTGTCTCTTTCAACTGACTTTCTGGAATATGATAAACATACGGCAGATTCTTAAACTGTGGTTGATTATCGTTTACGTCCTCAATCGTAACTGACACAGTTGCTGATGAAGAAAGTGGAGGGAAGCCACCATCAGTTGCATAGACAATAAATTCATACTTTGCTCTTTCTTCTCTATCAAACACTTTATTAGTGGTGATCAATCCTGATTTATTGTCTATCGAGAAGCTTTCAAGTACTTCGAGGTCAGAAGTTTCAACGTCAAGGGAATATGAGACTTGGCTGTTTATGCCAATATCAGCATCCCTGGCAAAAACCTGCACAACTGTGGATCCATTTTCATTATTCTCCAAAAAAGATGATTCATAGACATCATCTGTAAATTTTGGTGCATTATCATTCTCATCAATAATAATAACTGTAAAGTTAGCAGAGGAAGTCAGTTCTGGTACACCAAAGTCATGACAATCAATTGTAACACTGTGTTTATCAACTGTTTCACGATCCAGTGGACCAAACACAATAACCTTATATTCTTTGTCCTCAACAGCTTGCATACCAAAAGGGCCGCTTTCAACTTCACAACTCACACGTCCATTTCTATCTCCATCTTTATCTATAACTTCAACATAAGCCACAACAGAACCAAAGCTAGCATATTCCCGAGCTTCTGCTGTCTGAGAATTAGATAATAGGTTTATCTTTATTACAGGAGCATTGTTTTCCGAATCCTCAACTGTGACCTCAATGGTAGTTTGAGAGGTCAAAGGTCGCTCACCATTGTCAACTGCATCTATTTTTACTTTTATAGCTTCGTTTGACACATATTCTAAATGCTTCTTTAAGAAGACCTCGCCAGTCTCAGGGTCCACGTCATAAGTATCTTTTATTGCCTGTGATTGTTGGGAATTGAGGTGGTATGAAATTTTGGCATTACGACCAATGTCAAGATCAGTTGCAGTCACATTAAGAAATGTTACGTTCAGTGGATAATCTTCTTTTACACGTACTTGATATACCGACTGCTGGAACACTGGTCTGTTGTCGTTGTCATCTTCTATTGTTACATTTATCATCATGGTACCATTTAGCGATGGTGTCCCTCCATCCCTAGCAATCAACATGAAATAGTAATTATCAGTTATTTCCCTATCAAGCTTATCAGTCAAAACAAGATTCAATTGTGATGGACCATCTGAATTTTGTAAAAAATCAGCACGAAATGGTATTTCAGCTGGAATAACTTCATAGCTCTGCACTGAAAAGTTGGCACTGTCTATGTCTTGTGCAGTATTTAATGCTATAGACTTTCCTTGTACCTCTGATTCAGATATTGAGAAAGAGAAGTATGGAGGGTCAAATATAGGTGAATGATCATTAATGTCCTCCAGGAATATTGTTATACTGATCTTTTTGAAAAAAGTTCCGGTTTTACTTTGAGCAGCTACATCGAGAGTGACTGGGCAGGAGAAAGTCGTAGAAAACTCACAAATTACTTCCCAGTCTAATGGCTCCCCTATACGTAGATCACTTGAGCTAGAATCTATGGAGAAATGTTTCAAATACGGGTTGTCAAGGTTAAGGAAATGAAACTCCAGGCTGTTGTAATCACTTTCGCTCACTAATGATCTAATGTCCTCATCTTTAGCAATGTTTCCAATCAACTTTAATCTTGGAAGTTCCTCTGGAATTATGTACGTAAGTCCGTCTGAGTAGTTTATAAGGTAGGAGAATACACAAATAAGGCAGGAAAGGCTCTCCGCAGATTCCATCTTTTATCCTTTATGTGCTGTCTTTCTTTTTTTCACAGAAGCTAATGCATCATCATGTACATACACGTAAATATCAATAACCATTTATATTATCCTCATTATTAATCATATTTCTCTTTCATTATAATCCTTTGAATATCAGTCCCTCACACAAAATATAAATAAATTACCTAATTTCCTCCTATACAACAAGGTGTTGATTGCTCAATTCTAAAATCCAACAGAACAGTTAAACGAAATTCCGAAATTCAATTAAACTTCAACAATGTACCTTTCACCAGTTTAATGGGACAATCTACAATTTAAAAATCCAATGAGGTCATATCATTTATTCCGCACTTGTCAGATTTAAGTCCCTTCAAAGTTATCCTATTATCTTTTCCGTGCAGGATTCAATCACTCAATTCAAAAGATGCCCATCCACGGTTTCGTAGGGTTTGTAATTTTCACCCCTCGCTCCTGTATACAGTAACTACCAATCATCTATTACTCTGAAATGAGAAAAGAAGACCATATAAATAAAATATCAACTGATAAAATGTTAACGTTCATTTTATTTTGCCCTGAGGTTTCATTGAATCACCTGAAGTTTGAGGAAAGCATATCATGAAATCAAGTTTTTGTTTATCTTCACCCTATGGGCTCAATATTACCATATGTATATCCTTACAGTCACCAGAGTTAATATAATTTTAAAAGTGACTATGAGTGAGAAAAACACAAACACTTAGTGCAAATAAGAGTTTAGGACATGCAAAAAATTATTGACAAAAAAGTGAGTACACCCTACTCCCTAAAAGAAAAAAAAATTAGAAAATCTCTGTAATGATTTTTTAAGGAGATAGTAAACATTTAGAGTGTTAAATGTGACATAAATAATCTGTTTGGCATATTAAAATGTCAGGCAATCATTTTTGCAATTAAATTTTTAGTGTAAATGACAAAATTTAAAGCCTAGAGAATCACTCATACTTCAAAAAGTCATAACCCTTTTTGCAAAAAAAAGTATACAAAAATCGTAAAAAGTTTATGAATTAAAATGATGAGAAAATGTTATGGCTTTAAGCGAACTGCAGGTCACAAAAAACTGAACAGCCTATCATAACATGGCATTATAACCTCCCAGTAATTAACATTTTACGACCATTAAAGAAGAGGGACATGTTATTAAAGCGATACAACTATAGGTCAAAATATACATGCATTTATCATAACAGCAACAATTTATAACCCAGTCAGTAATTTCTTTATCATTAATGATCGTTTTCATTCTTATCTTAATTTCAATTTTAAATTTTAAAATGACTCATTCATTCATACTTTAATGGCGGCAACTTCGAATAATTACTACTATGAATTGGTAAATTTATCCCATAGCTATATTTATTAACATATACTTCATGAATTCACCAACCCCCTTACTCCTTAGAAAATAAATAAAATGTTGTCAATTTAAAGCTACACTTAAAAATTACTCTATTAAAATCATACTTTGCCTCCAAGCAAAAAGATGTAAGTGTAAGTATGGTACTCTGAATTTCTTCACTAATATTAATAAATATTTCCATAATTATAATTGTAAATAGCAATATTATACTTCCGTGCACATTCACTAAAACTTCCCCTTCACTTTCCTGACTTATACAGTATACAAGTATAATTATACGAAACAAAAATTCCATTACATAAATTCCATACCATATAAATAAAATAACCATTTGTATTTCCTTTTTTAAAGTTTTACCTAAATTATATAAATACATTCATATTTTTTTAGCTTAAAATATGTGAAATCTGAGGCGCAGTCTGAGTTTCAATTTTCACTATAGACTGTCATCAGAAATAAAATGGTGATATCTTGTTGTTATGTAAAATGAAATAATTCAAGAAGATATACTATCACCTGTGATGTTTGCAGTGCAATATATCCATGCAGATAACTTTCAGTATGCAAATTTTGCAACCAGTTAAGAAGTCAGTAGGATCAGAGATTTCGATGTTTGGAAGTCAAAGAAAAGAAATTAGCAACAAGGTGTATTATCAATCAGTAAAGAAGATTAAAGGCTGGGCCGTTAATGATCCTACCAACATTATCTAGAATTTCTGTTATAAATGATAATATTACACAACAATATAGCAGTATGACAATTAAAGCTGGAGAATTAATTATAATAATACAATGATAATCTGTTAATCTGGAGTAAATATTGCAATAATCTGTTACAATAATCTGTAATAATTGATATTAACACATAAAAATCAAGTTAACAATAAACCTTTCTTCATTCTAATGAAGATTTAACGCATTTTTAAAAAAAATCTTTAATACGTGAAATAGAAGAGAAAGTTGGCGAAAGTTTCCTTGACACTTGTATAATGTGATATCATTGCGTGCAAGAAATAACTTGATATGACAAGTAAAGTCGGCAACATAATCCTCAAAAAAGAAAAAACAAGGTCGAAGTTTGTTAAATTTTGCATAAACGGGGAGATAATATGATAGTTGAAATGTTAAGTATAGCTTATAACGGATGGCATGTTATGGTACATCTGTATAATGCATATCCTTGTGTTGGTGTCAAAACTTGATATAATTACAGATTTATGTACAATTAGATACTGATGATATCTATAAAATAAACCCACAAAACTTTCATTACGGATGCTGGTGGCCTACTCTCTTTGTCAAATTACAAAATTTAAAAAAGTCAATCTGCATCATGAAATGTTTTTGGAAGAAAAACAAGATATCTATTTCATACAAAGAACATAACAAAAATTGAGTTTTTTTGTTTGTTTTTTGTGTTTTTTTTAAATTTTTTTAGCCCTTTTCGCTGTATTATTTCTCTCCATTATTAAACTGCCAAGCAATAAAACTTGCAGATTCTTCACGATAAAATTCCAAAAAATATTTAAAAAAATATTTTCCATATCAAATTAATGATGTATTGTAGAGAAACAATTAATATGAGAGCATTTTATTGTATATTTTGTATATTAACTATATTTACTATCCCTGGTCAGGATAAAGCACATGTACACCTGTCATGTTAACATGTAAAAGTCCTTCAGATATTGATCATTGATGACATGATAACACACATATTGTACTGTCAGACATGTGCTAATTGCTCTTATATCATAACCTTAATTGACTGTAATTTATACCAAATTTTTGTTTTACCAGGACATAAAAAATAAACCCTGGCCTGTCATTCCCAAAATATTTACTTACCGTACTTATAATGTTTTGCCAATGGGTGTCACATATGGTTAAGATAAACAAAGACATGTTATTATATTAATGATAACTTTCAGTAGTCAAAAACATTGTAAGAATCAATTAAGACTAATAAATATAAAAGAAAACTTATTTCTAGCTTAAAAAAGCTGTTCTAAAAGAACTAATCATAATTTGTCACCTTAGTGCAAAAACAGGTTAATTCCTATAAAATTTAACAGGAGTTAACCCGTTACTGCACTAAGGTGACAATATATTAAACTAAGAGCATTTATTAACCCCCAAAATTTTCCGTAGTGTTGTATATTAATTAAAGTACCATAATGCTATTATTTTTGGGTCTGTACAATGATTGGAAATTTAAGGACAAAACATGTTAAACAAAATAATTTTGATTAGGATTACACAAATTCTATCATTTACTCTACTAACGTAAATATAATTATACAAAAATCTGTGATAAAATTAATATACCAAGTATGTTTAATAAGATATAACTTAAATCTTTCAATCTGGATAAAACCATTCATTATTTTTAGAGAAAATTTCAAAATATATACTGGCTGAATAGTGAACAGGCAGCTGGCTGATCTAGGTCTGCACCGGGTGCATGGCAAATTCAGTTGCCACCAACAGGCTAAGGGGTTTATATATGGGTACTACAATAAGAAATTTTCAGAAGGAATATACAGATATATAAAATTTAGAAATGAACTTTCTTTGAAACTGTCACAAATTTTTTCTTAATCTACAAACATGCTTTGTAAAGTTTAATTATACAACATATGTTGGTTATACAAACCATGGTAATGTTAAACCTCTTTAAAAAGAAAAAGACTAAAATTCCTAACTTTATGGTTAATTTAATGTAACATTTGCAAAAATTGATAAAAGTGAGAGATAACTAATGTATAAGAAACATTTGCCTTGCCTTTGTATCAATAGTTATAAACAGATGTACTAGCCAATGGCATTCTATATAGGAGCTTATCATTGTCCATCAGACAATATGACAATTTAATACATATTAAAAAAAGTTACCCATCATGCTTCATTGGTTTACGTATAAACTATACATGTATATGGAGGGATTGTTTGTACTCAAAGTCTGTTTTTGTCATAAAGCTGCTGTCATTTGGTTTTGTAAAATAGCAAGATGTGATAAAACAAGATGGTTCCAAATAATGATAAAATCAAAAGTAACTCCTAGAGGCTTCATCATGTATGGTCTAATACATGACATACATTCTTCATGACAACTTGAACTCTATTAAATAATATATTTTTTAGACTTCATATTTATTATAAAAAAATTAAAACATATCAATTCTCTGTGACAATTTTAACTCTTTTATAGATTTTAGACTTCATATTTATCAATTTTTAAAAAAAAAATCTGAAGTGTGAGTGCTGTTCAAAAGCTAGATAATTGGTTAATTACAAATTAATTCAACCTTATTAAAATTCTTTTCAATTATAAAATTAAACAATATATTAAGACTTATACTTCATACAGTCTGCATAACAATAAAGTTAAACCTAACAAACTCATAGCAATTAAAACTATTCAAACTATTATAAACAATGATAATTATTATGTAAGTTTATGCTAACAAAATGCATACAAAAACATTATTATACCACAACAACAATTAACAAATAAACAAGAAATATTTTTGCTGATGTCACTGTTGTTTCCATGTGGAAAATCTTTCTTAATATCAAAAAAACATCATGGAAGGTTCTCAAGTTCATAACAAAAGCATCATGCAGGTTCCATTATGCAACAGTAATGTAACTGAATGCTCTTCTAAATCAATGCACTACAGCATTGTCAAATTACTACCCACAAATATAAATGAAAGTTATTAATTAGAATTTTGCTGTATCATTGTTATAATGATATCTATATAAAAACATTTCACTTCAATTCATCATGTCTCTAATTGACAGCTTATTATGACACTTCATTACCCTTCTCTGGTACAATGTAATGATTATACCAGACCCTTAAACTTATACGAAATAATTCATTCATCATTATCTCTATAGAAAATATTATAAACATTTTTTTTACCTTCAATGCAGTAATTTCCACTAAATCCTCAATATTTGTGTTATTTTTTCTCTTTTACTGAATTTTTCAGGTTTAAATATTTTTTTTTTACTAAGTTCAGTTAAAATACTACAATAGTATAGTAATCAGTGTACCTGTTTGATTAACTAGTTCTTAAATCGTTAAACCTGCAA